TATATTTCAAAAGCATGCATGAAAAATGTATACATCATCTATCATTATTATTTCACATGTCATTTGGGGGAGATAATAACATTTAAAAGTTCTACTGCTTCTGGGAATTTCATGACCTTCATGGCTTATAGTTAACATTTTTAAGTCCCTCAGAACAGTGTTCTTAATCTAATACAATTATTTGTGGAATCAGTCAACAAGTTATAGATAATTAATAAAGGCAATATTACAAAACTTTATGTTGTTACAAAAGTTTAATGGGGCTATAGAAATGGCTCACTTGGTAAAGTGCCTGCTGTACAAGCCTGAGAACCTGAGTTCAGACTCCCAGTACACATGTAAAAAGCTGTGGTAGTACATGCCTGTAATCCCAGTGCTGGGGAGACTGAGGCAGATGGAGTTCTGAAGATAATTGGCCACTAAGTCTAGCCACTCGGTGAACTCCAGGTTCAATAAGAAACCCTGTCGCAAAGACCTAAGGTAGAGAGCGACTGAAAAAGACATCCAACATTGATGTCTGGCCTCCATATATGTACTCACACATGGGCCTGTGTACCCACACAGATATTCTTAGAGAAGGGAGTGTTATAAGAAAATTCATTAGAAAATTTCTCAACTTTAACATAGATGTAAACCTAGAGATTTTTGCCCAAACTTTCCTCTCCCTTGCTACAATATTTAGAAACTGTTTTATGAGAAATGCCCATGATAATGGCTCAGAAATTATTTCATAGGGTCATGTTAGGCAATTTGAAAAATGACACGGAATGAAATTACATGTGAAAGGGAATCAGTGAGATTACGAAACTCTGCTATGTATTCTATGTATTTGAAATCACATTGCTGCTTTCACTGACTAAAATTAATTATCACCTTTTTTCATTAGGTCACCATTTTAAGATTTTGTTGCTTACATGGAGGAGGATAGTAAAAGGTGTTGTATCTTTGACTGGTGATTCATCTCACCAGCTGCCAGCAAGTTGCATGTTGTGGCACACCTGGACACATAGCCCTGTGACTGATTAGGAAACACATTTATCTTGGTGCATCACAAAGAAGATGGGATCATAATTACTCTCCCTTGTAATGAAAGGTATTTGGGAACCTGTTTCTGCCTTCGAAACAATACAAAATATACATTGGGACCAGATCCACATAATTGTGCTATCTGTTCTTGATATTTAGCCATAAATATTTCCCAAATTATTTCTATATTCCAAAAATAAAATTTAGTTTGAAAGATCTAAATTGGCTGTTAACATTGTCAATAGATATCATGTTAAAAATTAAAATTAATAAAATTGCTCAGAACTCTGAGTTACTAAATATGCAATATGACTATCAAGCTTCCTATGTATTAGGGAACACTTGCAAATTTATCATAAGTGTGAAAGAAGAAAACGGTCTCAAAGGTTTCTTTCTTCTCCTTAAATGGATCTCAAAGTCTGGAAATGCTTAATCTTTCCTGAAAAGTTCTCTATATTAAGACCTTAAGATAAGATGGTTTTTTAAATATTTTATTTATCATTTTTTATATTATTGCCTCCATGTGTGTAAGTGCACCTGTGTCATGCAATGCCTGTGGAGGTCAGAAGAGGGCATCAGATCTCCTGAAACTGGAGTTACAGACAGTTTTTAGCTGCCATATAGATGCTGGGAATCAAACCCAGGTCCTCTGCAAGGGTGCCAGTGAGCCATCTCTCCAGCTCTCAAAATAAGATGTTATATTAAAAGTATTCTATATGTAGAATGCAAAACAGTCACTATCAGAAATTGAAAATATTTGAGCCAACTTTTAAAAATTCTGGTGTTCCTTGAGAGTCTATGCCCTGCATGAGCAAAACTGAAGATATTCGTGTCCCTCGAACTTGTCTTTTTATTCTAATTCATACCCAGTAATACTATTCTTGTCTAGGCCTACTTTTATAGCTATTTTTAAAGATTTATGTATTTTTATTGTGCATGTGAATGTGTGCACAAATGTGTGTGCACACGTGTGTCTCTGTGCATGTGTGTGCATGCATGTGTGTATGCACGTGTGCATGTATGCCAGTGCCTGAAGAGGCTGAAGTAGATGTAGAAGTTTCTAGAGCTAGTTATAGTTGGTTAGTGAGATGCCTAATATGGGTGCTGGGAACAAAAATCAGGTGCTCTGGAAGTTTAGTAAATGCTCTTAACCACTGAGCATCTCTCCAGACCTGTTAGTATTAAATTAGTATAAAACTTTTATCTTTTTTTTTCCCTTTAGAAAGTAGGTTTACCGTCTAAATATAACACCTCAGTGACATCTGTACCCAAGAATAAGAGCAATCATGAAATGTATATTCAATTTTAACCCTGAAAATTAGGGGAGGTGATTTCAATAAGATGTAGTAATATTTCATACTTATTTCAAAATCATGAAGAAAGATAATTGCTTGGGATATTGAAATCTAGAAAACACTATTATATGAATGACAGTTTTCCTTGCTTTAAAATAAGGATAGAACAATGATAGTAGCAACAACCAAACGATTATGCTGGGATTAAAAAAAAATGACCGTCATTAATTTGAATGCACATTAAGCGGGACACAAACTCCTTGACACAAGCCAGTAAAATATGTGCTGTTGGTATTTTCATTTTTCATTAAGAACATTCCTTTTCAGTGTAATAAAGAAAATACAGAGAATCGATGCATCACAATCACCACTCCTTAGTATTTGTAAACACTAAAGTGTGGGCTTTATCAATCTCTGAAATGAAGAGATGAAATGAAATTCAGGGAGGGAGAGGGGAAAAGTAGAGTCCTTACCTGGCAAGCCCCTGTGGTGGAACATATCAGAATCTCAGGTTGGTATGACAGCAGTATAAATAGCTTAAAATTGGGCTTAATATACACAATAGCGATGTATGAATGGCAAACAAATCTATGTCCAAATTGTTAAATAACAACAGAGAATGTGAATTACTTCTGCAACACTGATGTTGAACTAAAGGACATAATCTACCACTGATTCATAAAAAATAGGCTCTTGGGGCTGGAGAGATGGCTCAGTGGTTAAGAGCACTGACTGCTCTTGCAGAGAACCAGGGTACGATTCCCAGCACCCACATGGCGGCTATGAACCATCCTTAACTCCAGTTCCAGGGGAATCCGACAACCTCCGCAGCATTACATGACATTGGTCCACTCACATACATGCAGGCAATACACTCAAACACATAAAATAAAAATAATAAATATATTTTTAAAAATAGTCTCTAAATTTTAGCAATTGGTCTCTTTAAAATATTTTTAGCTTCAAATGTCATAGTAAACCCTCATTATTTCTTTCACATGATTGGAATTCAATAAATATTTTACATAAAACTTTCATCTCTGTTGCCATATATACACTAATTATTCTAAAACACTAAAGACAGTTCTACCGATTTATCTCTATAATCAATGCGTTTACAGTCACAAGGTAGCCTATGATTTCCAAGTAATGTGGGAACTAGTTCCTTCTAAATGTGTTCTCTGCCTTGAATTCCCATTATAAATATGAAAATATTGTTATAAATTGGCCATATTTCTTAATAAAATAGCCTTCTCCATGCCGAAATTACATATTGATTGTGAACAGTGGTTGAATCAGATACTATGAAACACCATGTTAACAGCATTTGCTGGCTCCTGTGTTCTGAACTCTTGATACCTCTGGTGCTTGGCCAAATGCAACCAGCTAACTACCTCTCAATAGACCAGGGGCCAGAATTTCATTCATCTTAATTTGAATTGCCCACCCTTAGGCAAATTCTCTAAAGTCCAGCCTGACTCACAATGGTATGTTTTCTAACCTTTGTCCTTATTTCTTTGCCCAGAGGCAAAGTTTCATGGTTTCGCTCTCTCATTTACCTAGGGAATACTTACTCATCTGAGACTGTTAATTTTGTTTTGGTTTTGTTTTGTTTTGTTTTGTTTGTTTGTTTGTTTGTTTGTTTGTTTGTCTTTTTGAGACAGGGTCTCCCTGTAGACCCAGCTGGCCTGGAAATCTCATAGCAATCCGCCTGCCTCTGCCTTCTGAATGATGGGATTAAAGACAGGGGCCACCATGCCTGGCTCATTTGAGACTCTTTATAAGCAATGGCTCTGTGGTTGCGATTAAGCGCATCTCAATTATTCTTTGCTAGCTAAATACTCTGCTGTGGTGCCAATCATGTTGTTACACATTGCTTTTACACGTTTTGTTCACGGGTCACACAATAAAATATTTGAAGATAAGCTTCATTCATCTTGTAAGACCTCCTAACACAATGACTAGAACATAGCTGATACTGAATAAGATGAAATAAATTAAATAACTTCATAGTTTATGTTCTACATTATAGTCCTTATCTTTCCCTTCTTTTGTTCGTGGATTTTTATGTGTTTATTTCTACACAAAGTCAAATGTTCATATATAAGCCATAAAAATAATTTTATTTTTCTTAGCCCATTTGTAACACATCATTTAAATCAACATCAAATGATTAGTCAAATTATTTTTAAGGAAGAAAAGGTAAAAAAAAAAAATCACTCAATTTCCAAGTTTATAAGTTCCATTAAGATTCTGTAGCATTTAATAGTTAATTTTCTATTAATCATATTATCATCTACAATTATACATTTATTTATAAAAGCGCATGTATTTTTAGATATAATCAGTTTTTTTAACTCAAAGCATACTTACAGGTAACTGAAAGTCCATGTTAAGTTACATGTATGAGACTGTGTGAAACAGCTTATCTAAAATAGAACTTTATACTTTCCTGCATTCAGATCATAAGGCGCTTTAGTATTATATAGAGTATATAATTCTTTTCATACAGTTTACTATGAAAATCTAACAAATTTTATATGTCTAAGAGGATGAAAATGACAATGACAATGAAAGTGACTGGCCCGCTCTGAGTTTCTTCTAAAAGTCTATCTTTTCAATCAGAAAATCTTCATTTTTACTCCTAATAAAAACCTCACAGCAAATATGGGTACTTACCTTTCAGGATTTTCTACCTCTTCAGTAAGAAAGTTGAGGTAAAACCTAAAAAATATATAAATAAATTACTGATTAATAGTATTTTTTACAACTGAAATCTAAAGTTTCACATTTTAAATATTTTAATTAAACTCAGAATTATGAAAACTGAATAAAAATGCTTTCAGTAAGATGAAAATATCCAACAAATAAGAACTTCCACAAATCATTTTCCTATTTAACTATATCTGTGGAGGGAATAAAATGTCAGACACATGGATATGAGTGGAAAGTCCTTAATCTGCACAAGGAGCTCATAGTTCAGAGGATGGCCATAGGGCAGGACAAGGCAATGCCATGTTAAGCTCATGAGAGGGTAAGTCAGGGAAGGGTTTCCAGAGAAGGCACCCCCAACATGAGCCTTCAAGAAAGTAGGGCATTCACCCTGATGGTGTGACATCATTCCAAGCTGGGACTGGCACAAGCTCACAGAAGTGTGGCAGAGTGACTAAGCACAGAGAAAAGACTGAGGGCTTAATAGTCTGCCATGAAAGTGTGGAAAAAGGAGTGGGATGGAAAATTAAGTCCGAGATGATCTGTGCTTCCTGTAATCTAAAATTTACAGCTAGAAGCAAGCAGATCCAAACTATATAAGAGCAACCTTTCTCCAGGTTGCGAACTGCCATTGACTGCCTACATAGAAACACAATGTGCAAGTAGGGATCTAAAACCATAGATCCCGGGGCTGGAGAGATGGATTAGCAGTTAAGAGCACTGGCTGCTCTAGAAGACCAAGGTTCAAATCCTAGCACCCACATGGCAGCTAACAGCAATCCATGATTCCAGTCCCAGAGGATCCAACACCCTCTTCTGGCCTCTTGGGCACTGCATGACACAGGTATACCTACATACATGCAGGCATAACCATAACACTCATACATATAAAATAAACAATTTTTTTAAATTATAGAGTCAATAGTTTATTATATACTTCAAAATTTCTAAGATTGAATTTCAAATGTTCTACCATTAAATATTTGAAATTATTTTGGTTATGGAAATATTGATTAGTTTGATTTAATTATTTCACATTGCATTTGTAAATTATAACCTCACTTTTTACCCCATAAATACATATAATTTGCCAATTTATAGCTTAAATTTAAAATAAAAAGATTGTACTCTCTAGCCACACATCTTCCTTTAAGGTGAGAGATTCTCAGTGTTCTCACATAGCCTCTATTCATAAGCCCATGAAGTTATCATTTCTCAGTTCAGAATGTTTCAGTAGTTAATTTTAGGCACATCATTTCTTATTTCATCATCAATTGAGAACTAAGGAGTAGGGAATTTTGAACATTTCTCAGGCCCACAATACTTCCCTGGTCCTTTTTTGTAACAAAAAACATTTGGGGCTCACACTATTCTACTTTCAAATTCCACAGGCTAGTAAATGTCACCCTAATGTCAAAATAATGTCAGGGCCCTAGAGAAGTTCCCACTCTGCCCCTTTACTCTGAGTTCTTGATAGAATCAAGACCAACCACACAGGAATGGTTAACATCTTGCATCCATGGCTTTGTTTTCCATCGTCCAATGAGAATAGATGATTGGATTACGAAAATGAGGAAATTATGGATCACTATGAGAACAGCTGAACATAAAAGCAAAGAACTTGCTATCCTTCATTTCATAGGCTTAGGAAGCTTTCACAGAACAGAAGTCATATACACTACTGTTACCTTATTCCTTACTAGGTAAGAGTAGCTTTTTTCATAGGCACATAAGAGCATGGGTCTACACGTCAAATTAACTGCTCTCTAAACCCCAGTACTCAGACTATTAGCCCATCATCTGTCACAAAATTAATGCATCTCACTACCTACAAGAAAGATGAGGAAACCTACCTTGCTTCATTGTCATGAATATCCTATTTGAATTCACAAATATTCAGTTGATGTTCAACTGTCTACAATTTTAAGGACTGTCTAAGTCAATATGTTTCAAATTTTGAGGAAACAGTACCAATAAGCATGCTATAAAAAGCCTAAAATCAGGGGCTGGAGAGATATCTCAGTGGTTAAGAGCACTGGCTACTCTTGAAGAAGACCAGGATTCTGAATCCCAGCACTCACGTGGTGGCCAATAACCATCAGTAACTCCAGCTCTTAGAGGAATCTGCCACCCTCTTCCGACCTCCATGGGCATAGCACAACATGGGTGCATTTACATACATGCAGGCAATATACTTATACACATAAAATAAAAATAATAAAATATATTTTTTAAAAAAGTCTAAAGCCAATGATTTAATGACTAGACACATTAAGCACGTTAAGTCTCCAAAAATAGAGGTCGCTGTTACTCTAGAAAAGTGAGGGACTGTCAGTGCTCATATCTGGAGTATTCTGTTTGAGAAAAATTTGACATGCTCATGTTTGTATAAGCCTGAAGCAACAGGAAGTATGGGAAGAAAATAAAAATAAGCAAATAACACCAAACCCCAAATAAATCACACATTTTATGCCTTCTTAAGTCAGAGAGAGTGAGAGAGCCAGTTGCTTCTTAATATTTGTTTAGGATACTAGTATTTTCCAACAAGCTTAAGGCAAAAGAGGAATTATTTATGATAAGATAATGTCTTTTCAACTATTTTTTCCATGGCTCCAGAAAACAGAAACAAGGGCTTGAGGCAAATAATGGAGAAGAAGGAGCAATGGGCTTCGTTCAATGCAAGCATCCATACCCTGTGGGAAATACACCTTCATGCTTGCCAGTCCCTAGCCACAGTATTCTCTTGGTTTACTTCTCCTCGAGAGCCATGGAGAATGTGCTCAATGTCTATCATCCCAGGATTTCAGTGATTGTGTATAAAAGGCAATGCCTGCCCTGCAACCCCCAACCTCATACACGATTTTAAAAAGGAAGCAGATTCCTGAGGTTAGATTTGACACAAAGGTATAAAATAATCCTGGTGGATGCTTTAGGGAGACTAAATCCATTGAGGATAAGATTAATGAAAGAGAAAGAGAAAATGAAAAACAATTTTTCTATCGCATAGTCAAAAAGTCTCACCATATAATATTTAGCTTTTGATCCAGATAAGAAATTGAAATTGGTTGACTTCCCCAAGGCCACAGGAGGACTGGCAGATATATTTTGCTGAATGAAGACCTTGGCAATAATATTAAAGTTATTCTGACCCAACTCTGTGACCTGGTTGGGCTAATGATTTCTTTTCTCTTAATCATGTTTCTGTTAAGGAGTTTTCATCATTCAGGAAAAGTTCTGTGCTCCTCAGAGCCAAAACTTCACTCTATTCAGGTTCCCCAAAGTCTTGTAATGTCTCTTTCCCATTCAGCCTAGCAGTTGGAGGTGGTTGCTCTTAGAATAAGGTCTCCAAGACAACAGAGGGCTTGCTGTCTTCCAAACTGGCAACATGCCCAGCAAGTTCTGAGTCTAGCTGCTTTGCTCTGTCTCAAACAATTACAATGCTTCCAATTTTAGGTGGTTTTATTGTTGTTTTGTTTTGTTTTGTTTTGTTTTTTGTTGTTTTTCCTTAGTCAAATATCGTCCCAGCAGTACAGGAAGCAGTAGCTCATTTACAGTCCCCACTTACAATTCTGCAGTACAGTCTTATATGGCAAAATATGGAGCATTCAGACAGCATGGGTTTCACTTGGAAAGAGAATCAATGCCCCTGGCCTTGAGAACCATTTTAGACTCCATCTTGATCCATTTGCATCCTGAGGATAACTGTTCCTCTGGAGCACCAAACCCACACACTCTTTCTTCTAATCATGCTTCCTTTTTCCAAGACCTATGGCCACAGATCAACAAGCAGATCACTTCCCCTCCTCACAAAGCAGTATTCAGGCAGCATAACAATGTATTACAGATGCATATTGTCTTACCATCCTCTACAGCAGCCACTTGTATCCCATAACATCCCATTTAAAATCCTGGACTTACTTTCCAATACTGTGAATGAATCCTCAAGAACACAGTAAAATCAATGGTTCCTGGCTCATTAAAACAGTATGTAGACACAAGGATTGTGTAGACAAAAGTCTAAATAAAGGTGCCAGAAAACGCCTTCACCAATGAAAACAGTAACATTTGGGGCTCAGCATCAATAAAATTCAGTATTAATAAGATAATTCAAGATGAAAAGAGTCTTATATCTGGAGAAATTCATCGCCTGTCAAAAGCCTCAGAAGTGGGAAAAATTGATTGTACATAAAGCAGGTGACCTGAATACTTAGTGCTGGGCAGTGGTGGAGTGAAAACAGGAATGCTTTAATATTCCGTGGGAACAGATACATAGGGCTCACAGGCAAAAGAAACTTCCTTCAACAGAATTAATCAAATCTGCCTTGTGAAGATCTCCACACTGCACATTCTTGATGAAGTCCCACAGACTCCCAGCACCCACTGGCGCTGAAAGCACTTTTTCCCTTCCCACTCTACTCTGGGGCTCCCAGCGATGCTCACAGTATCCTGGCTGCTGCCCCAGGGCGGGGATCCAGGCTCATCCAGGCTGAATAGCCCTGAGTTGATTCTGGTCCTAAGCCTGTGATCACACTCAGTTCTTTTCTCTGCTTAGCGCCACATTGTGCTTTGGACAAAAGTGGAAGGACTTCAAAAACACTGAGTGATTCAAAACTAATGTGTGCCCACAATGGCTATAAAAATATTCTGGGATATACAAATATTTTACACTGATATTCTTAGAGCTATAACCTGACAACCTTCAAGATTATTTTGCTTCAAAGCTAGGCTAAAATGAAGCTGCTGTACTCTCTTAATTCTCCTCTAGTGCCATATTTTCATAACTCAGTGCAATTAACAGGGTACACACTTCATCTGTTTTGAAATATATTTTTATATTCCCTGTATCTGCTGAAGGTAAGATCTTAAAAACTGAAGAAACAGAGGACAATGCACTGTGCATTACATATGCATTTACATCAGTTTTGAGCTAGCGAAGTTTCCTGACAGTATTTTTAGGCTCACAGAATGTTAATACAGCTTTAACTACTAGTTTTATAAATAACAAAAGAAGATTATTGCCATTATTTAGTCGAAAACAATGCAAGTTAATCTTACAATTGCTACAATGATTTTGGTATTTAAACAATATTTTTGTACCTATCAGCCTTTCTTGAAATAGTCATTTTAGCTAAATCTTACAAGATCAATCAAATTTTGTTGCAAAACTTCCTCTCTTAAACTTGATTATTGTTATTCCAGCCCCTTAACAAAACAAGGTGCAAGTATAAAATTCTGCATTAGAAGAGGAGGAATCACAGCAGACAGATGTCAAAAGAAATGTCCATGGCACCGTGATGTGAGTCATCTTTGCTGCACATTTCTATGTTCAGGTGTTGGAAGCATTTTAGGGAGCATGTCAGGTCCTTGAACATGCTATACATTATTTGTACAGTGGATTGTATTATCTTGTGTTTTCTTTTTCTGCCTTGAGAGTACCATTTTAATCTCTGGGGAGCATCTTATTTATTTCTACATCTGAATTATTTCTTACTCATGAGAGAGTAAGAAAATTCATCAGTCACTATTTGTAAATACCCTTGGCGTTCAAACTGAAAGGCCTTGTGGAAACCAAATCCTAATCTCTAGTATTACATGGCAGTTTTGCCCTTTCTGATAATTACACATGATTTATACTGACCGTTAAGACCCAGTATTTGTTTGGAGTTGTTAGGACACAAGGTTAAATTTAATAGTGACTTTGACTGATGGGGTGTTTAGGAAATGACACCCCAGTGTCAAAAATACTTTGCCTCAGTTGGGTGCTGTCTGTGGAAGTTTAGGAGGCGGGGCCTTATTGGAGGAAGCATGTTACCTGAGGTGACTTTGAGACTTCTTAGTCTCTTCTCATCTCAAATTTCCCTTCCTCTGTTTCTGATGCCTGCTTGAAGATATTAGTGCTTTGCTGTCTCTCTAGCTGCCTCTGGCCATGCCTCCCCCTCCATGATGGACTCCTTTTTCTCTGGAACCAAAATGTAAGCCCAATAAACTCTTTCTTCTGTAAGTTGCCTTGGTCATGGTGGTTTATCACAGCAACAGAAAAGTAACTAATACGATGGTGCTTTGTCATACTGAGCACACTGAACTGAAGGAACCCAAAAGGCCTCAGAAGTAAGGCCAATCTGACTTTCCCTCACCTTCTTTCCCTGTTCTTCTTCCTCCCCACCCACAGTAAGCTGTAGAAACTACCATCTTTCTTCCTAAGTGGGTCATAGAAACTAGAACCTATCTGCCCCAAAGTCATCCATTAAAAACTAATATATCTCAAATTTTCTCCTGCCTTTCTGTGCAGAAGCTAGCTGTACAGTTCTCTGTCCTACCTTGTCTGATGGAACATAGCAAAACATTTGCCCCAGGGGGATTCTATCCTATTCCCAAGAGGAAGGAATGCTACACAAAGAATCCAAGGAGAATCTGAACAGACAGGCTCCCCCTAAATTCCCCTCTCAGTCTTTTACCATTACATTATATCCTTTGACCATAAGAAAAGTTTCCCCTGGATTTGCTAGTCTTCATTTCTGAGAGCTCCCATGTTACATGCAACTTTGATTAAACTGTTACTGTGCATGTCTTCATAGAAAGCTACTGTAGGGACAGAAAGGTTTGATATGTGTCCTCACCCACCATGAGGGTCACAGCTGACCTTCCTAATGCAAAAAAACAGGTTAACAAAAGCAAAGCACGTGAAGCTATGTACTTGAAGGTTTTGGAGATACTAACTTACCAGCCAGCATAGGCATACATCCCATAATAAAAAGCCAACGGCAACCCCATTAGACTTGCATCTTTTCCTGAAAAGGCATCCTTAAAGTGCTGCGTTTGCCCTGGAATTAGAATGGGAAAATTTTTAAAGTGTTTCAAAGAACTGGTTGTATTTTATTCCAACCATAAATATGATTAGGGGATGAACTTTCCTGCGTTAGGTCTAGATTTCTTACTCTCTGCTCATTGCCAACTCTATTTTTTAATACTGCACCTATCCTAGTGAAGGAGTCCCAAAAGAACAGTGTCACCCAGACTATTTTACAATTATCTTGTAGACAGATAGCCAGGATGAAAATTCCTTGTGAAATAAATAACCCATTTTTCCTTGTTTGAGTATGCCTTTGTTTCAACAACTAAAGTACCCTAAAGGATTTTCTATAAACTGAAGTTTTAGGAATATGACAAAATTCTTAGACGATAACCTAAAACGTGGTGAGAGATACAAAGAAATCTCAAAGGGTCTGCTTTCAATGAGGAGGCAGAAAGAGACTCCAGAGCTGCCTGCCCCCACACATCACTGCCCTTCTGCTGCTCTCCTTGTAGGCCTTAGACACCTGTCTCATATAGAGCAGGGCTAGGAAAAAGCTTCTGCCATCCAAACCCACATGGCTGTTTTGTAAACAAAGTTTCCCTGAAGCACAGCCATGCCTATTGCCATCAGGGCCTATGGCTGACGTGACCATACAGTGGAGTGCTGGAACTGGAACAAGTCATCCTACCTACAGAATTGAAAACCTGTATCCCTGAACCCATGCAGGGAAATCTGATCGAACCTGTCCTGGTACATGAGACCATTTTCTTCTAGAAACGGGGAAAGAAATTATGCCAAACTCTAAAATAACTTTTAGCAAATTTGGCATTAACATGTATAGTGAACACTTTTGTCCATCACATTTTTTTCATTTTGAGAAAAGTACATTTTTCTTTATCTCTTCTGGGTAATTGATTACAAATTTAGATTTTCTTTAGTCAGTATAGATTCAAAGTTAAGCAGAATACATGTTTTTGTCTTAAGGAAAACAGCAAATGAGAACTCTCAAACAGGAAATGATCTTGTTTCAAATTTTATCTTTATATTAGTAACAAAAGGAGGACACAGGAGCAGGAGATGAATGATGGTATAGGATACTCTCTTGCAAATCAAATCTTAGCTATCGCCTGAATACCTGATCCTTTGATCTCAAGATTACTCATAGTAATGTAATGTGGGTATGGGGACCCAAGAGAAGGATATTTTCCTCAATGCAACTGACTTCTAAATATAGTTGAATGTAAAAAAAAAAAAAACACGTTGTGACAAATCAAAAATGCCCATTTTACTAGACCATCTCTCTGCCCTAATAGAATGAAAAATTGTATGCAGAGGTTCTACTAGGAAATCTCTGTTGAATATTCTTTTATTATGATCTGTGGTCTCCTTCACCTAAAGAGAGAATATTCCTCAGAATGTAGCAATAAATAATCAAGAGGGGGGAAAAAAACCTGTGAAGACTGAGCCACAGATCTTCAAAAGTGCTATTTTGAGAGTGCTGTAAAAAAGAGGCTCATTGTTTCTGGGCTTCAGGAATATTCTGGCTGCATAACACAGGCCTCAGGAAGATGAAAGTCAAATATTCAAAGGAAAGTTCAAGTCCTTATAAGTCAATACACAGCATTCAACTATAATCAAGATCTGATTCTAATAGAAATAAACATACACTATATATTAGTGAAGTCTTTCACTTTCTGGGGACTCAGATTAATATAAAAAATGATCATGTTAGAAAAAATATTTTGAATCACAATTTCATGTTATTTTGTAGTAATGGAGCAAATATATCTGCTGAGAATTCTCTCCAAAATACTAAAATTTACTTCAAGTGTGGTAATATCCTCAGGGAATTTGTTTGTTGTGTGAGAAAAAGGCTGTTCCTGTAGATTACTGATATCATAAGCACTGATGAACGTATCACTATATTGTGATGGACAAGGAGGAGTCAGGAGTTCTATCATGATCTCTGCTCTCAAAGGAATTTGCAATACAGTAACATTTGACAACCAACCCCACTTGGCACACATACAGACAGGGGTCAAAACCAACTGAAGACTATAACACTAACATCATGTCTGATATTACATCAAAAAGAAAGACCGAATCCTAGTTTAAGGGATGTGTCCTAAACTAGAAACATAAACTAGGACTAGAAAGGCTAAAGACTCAGACTTCCTGAAAAGCTACAGAATGCTTAAGATTTAGCTCAGTAAAAGCAAGCACGAAGAGTTCAGACTTTTTCTGCCTATATTCATGATAACTGAAATGGAATATCAGCAGACCAGCTCTGTGGAGGTCAAGGTGAATTAGAAAAGCAAGCTCACATCTCTCAGTGCAGGCTCTAGTGTTCAGATTCGTCACTGTATTTATTATGGGTTGGCGGAGGTTGCTGGGTTTGTTGAAAGCATTTTGCCAGCCAGACTCTGAGATCTCCCATTAGGCTTATTAAACAGGCAAGAACAGCTCCTTTCCCAGCTAGAATGACCGATCCTTCAGTGTTTGTTATTGTTTGATGCCTCTACCAACAGCAATGATTTTGCTGAACTGTGTCATTTCCTTTTGCCTTGCTGTAATTGTCCTGCAACATCGTTAGCTTAATAAATCCCCTTTCTTGGAACAGACAGTTTCAATGTAAACATTAAATACTTATCATTCCCAAGGGACATCACCTCTTCACAATTGTTTCTCTCTTATTATTTCTTATTATTTCCTGTTGCAAGTTCAATAACCCATGGGGCCTTCTTTTTCTTTTAAACATTTCTATCAAATCCAAGCAATTGCACAGACCTTTCCTAGAACAACTGTAACTTCTCCACTTCTTTACTTATTACATAGTAAATTCAACATGACAAGTAAGTTCAGAAATTGCTGATTTCATCAGAAATGCAAATTTTACACAGAAAATAATATAGCGATAAAATTAAGCTTTTTGCAAGTTTTTTTTTTTTTTGTCACATGGAATTGTATTTTTAGGAATGCTGTTCCTAGAGCTCAATTTTCTTCTGGGGACACTAATCTCACAATAAAGAAATGCTCATGAGAATATAAAAGAATTAGTGGTCATCTTTCATGATTTTCTAGAAATCTTTTTATCTTTGATATTCATTGCTATTATTAAAAAGTTTCACAATGCTATCAAAAGGATATATTGACCTGTACTTAAAGTTAAATAACAAATTCCTTTTTCTTTCCACTTTGGGTTTTGATGCCAAATTTACACCAAGAGAATTCTCCCCTGCTTCATTTTATCCCAGGGAATTCTCCTCTGCTTCATTTTTGTTGCTTGGCCCAGTCTTAATTCTCTTGCTGCCATTCAAGTATAAATACCAACTTACCCTCAATGTAGCCTTTCAAATCAACTAGATGACAGTACAGAGTTTAAGTTCTACAGGCAAAGACTAATTAAGGATTCTGCTACACAAGCGAAAGATAGTGTTAGAAAAGACCAGAAGCAGATATGTAGTTTAAAAAGCATTTACTTTTCAGTCCATACCTTTAATTAGCTGTATAACTCCAGGGACTATAATTATCAGAATTGCCGTGAGCTTGCAAAAGGTTAGGAAAATCTGGATCCGGGCACTCCAGCTGACACTCATACTGTTTAAGACCATCACCACAGCTGCAAACAAACAGACAAAGTTACAGAAGGCAAATCCTCTGGAGCACACTGACATCTTAGGCCCTTATCACTGGAAATATGATCTACAGTCCCACAGAGTTGACATGAACCATAAAGGCTTGAGCAGTACAGAATCAAGGCCCTGCCCCAGATCCAATCTCTACTGCACTAAGAGCTCTGTTGATGCACATTCAAGTTTGACAAGTTTGGATAAAAACTCTGTACAATTAGAATTCTTCTTTTGTTCTTAGCAGGTCAGTAAGAATGGTCATTTATAGTCATGCTCTAGAAATCAAATAAAATATCTTCATCCTGAACTCATAATGCCAGGCCATTAGATCTCTGAATCAAGAAGGGGCAAGAAGTGTTTGTGAATGCGATCTTACTCTTCACCTCTTTGGGTCTCTCTCTACATTTCAACAAGCTAACAAAAGCTAAGTGTTAACCTACCTACAAGTGCAGGCTTCCAACATATAGTTGGAAATTTGAGTGAAAAGTCCTAAGAGTTTCCAGCTTTGGATGCACACCGGGTCTGAAGCCAGGTGGCTTTCCTCTTTGTAATGATCCTGTTCAGTTTCCCAAGCAGCCACATGTATCTACACTTCTCACCTTGTGGACTATGAAAACTTCAAGGATGGAACAAAGGCTATTCATTTCTACATTGCCAATAATGGCTCCATACCTGGCCCAGGAAGATAACTAACATGTTTTTATTGGAAAAGGAGAATGAATGAATGAATGAATGAATGAATGAATGAATTGGGTTGCCAAAATTCACTGCACACATTAAAAATGGTGATGTTTTACTTTCCTTTTCTGCCCTGATGGAATGTTTGGAGTTATCCTACACAGCAAATTTAACCTTATGCTCTTGCTTAAACCTGTACATAGTGTTAAAAAACAATTAAACAACAACTATTTCATGCCTGACATTTACAGATATTATTTTTTTTAAAGATGTATTCTCACTTAACAAAAATAAAATTATATAAAATTATTTCTCAGGGCATGAAACAAAATTCTAACAGAGTTCTTGTCATTCAAATAGGAATTATGTAATGAGCTGTTTCTATGGTTTCCCTATCTAATATAATCATTATCTCATTTCTGTATTTTAGAATAGGTGAAATGTTATCAATACAATAAAAGACAGCAAAAAGTTTTTAAAAATCCATACCTTTAATGGAAGCTTAATTAATATATATTAATTGTATATTAATGTATATTACTTTAATGGATTTGTAAAGCTATCTAAAATTAAAATGCAATGACATATTTATCACATGAAAAGATGTTAGTTTTAAATTGCTAACCAACAGTACTAGTTAAAACAATATGGATGAATATGTGGATGAACAGTAAAGTCAGAGGCAAAGAAAAAGGGTGCGGTATGGGGCTGAAAGATTTAGAAAAATATAGCAGTTATCTATAGAAGCACATCAAATAATTTCCAATTTTGGAATTTAGTCTTCAGCAACATTTTAGCAAATTAGAATAGACAGTGTTTGGGTGACTAGAATTAATAAGTGGGCTAGATACTTGAGCTCTGCATAACTGTTCCCACAACTAAAGCTAAAGGAAGTAACCAGGTGAGGTAGCAGATAAGGTGACAGACTTGATCTGGTAAATACTTCACACAGAAGGTGGATATTAAATCATCACAGTGTAGACATTAAAAGACTACAGTTTTGTTTAGCAAATACACCTCAGTAAAGGGAGAAAGTTTTTTTTAAATAAATAATGAAGAAAATAAAATCTTACTGAAAAAAAAATCAAAGATAGGAAAAATAGAGGATCAGCAGATCCCTTCAAAAGTGAAACAGGGGCTGGGCATGGTGGTGCACACCTTTAATCCCAGTACTCAGGAGGCAGAGGCAGGTGGATAACTTGCAGAGAAGCAGTGTTATATTTGATTATTTTCAATATGTAACTGTTCTATATAGGAGACAGATCAATGACTTTATGTTTTGTCATTCCTGATAAAACAATGCCCTTTTCCATCGACACTGGACCCACCTGTTCCTTCGTGTCTTCACAAAGACACTGGAATGCCCCAGGCCCCAGCTGAGGAGTAGCTCTGATTTTCAAGACTGTTGTCATCATTATTTCCTCATTAATACCCTCTGTTTCACTTTTTTTTTTTTTTTTTTTTTTTTTTTTTTTTTTTTTTTTGGCCTTTTGGATACAGGGTTTCCCTGTAGCTCCAGTAGGCCTGGAACTTGTTAAGTAGACCAGGCTAGCCTCAATCTCACAGAGATCTACCCAATGAGTTCTTTTTCTATGCAAATTCCCATGTGATAAATGGGTCATCACATGAAAATGATCTTTTTTTTTTCAATTAAAGAGGCCCAACTTTGACAGAAAAATGGGAAAAATATGACCTTAGTTTCCACCAGCAACCAAAGATCACTGTTTTCTTCTCAAATGCTAGAGCATTCCTCACTTCTGATACTCAAACATAGAAAGAAGTCCCTGGGACAAAGCAAAGGGAGAAAAAACAGATAAAGAAGACATGGTAAGGGGGAAAATAGGTAGATATAAAGAAGAAAAGGAGAAAGACGGGTAAAGGGAGGGAAGGAAGGAGGGACAGTTGGGGAGGGAAACACTGTTATTGAGAAACACCTGGCCATATATGTGTTTGAAAAAGAGAGGGTTTGTTACCTTCAGAAGAAGTTAAGCCCTTACTAATGTCTATTGAAGTAGAAAAAGCAGTGAGTATTTGGAATTTTATTCTCCTTTTTTTCAATTTTTTTCTCAGACAAATGGAAGTCAAAGTCACACAAATATCATGAATTGATCCTTTCACCTTGCTTTCCCCTTAGCTAAGAAAAGAATTCTGAGGAAGACTGACTTTCCTCAAAGTTTTCTTCAGACCAGGCTTTATCTGAGCATCCGACATTGAACTCATTACTCCGTATACCACATTCCAGGTGAGATGCACCTCGATGACCCAGAGATACAGCTTAACAAGTAACACGGCTGCCTGTGCCAAGGCACAGGCAAGGTTCTCAAAGGCTGAAACTGCTGCTTCATCATGTGTTTGTGCAGCGAAATTTAAGACCCCACTTGTTGCTTATCCAACAATATTTTAAAGGGATCTGGGATTCAGTAAATGCAGGAGCGTTCTCAGTTTCAGACATAAATAATATCTACTTTAAAAATCCCATATGATAATAATAAAAGGACTCTGAGCCAGCGCTGACTTGAGCTTTACTTCTTTTGAGTAACTGCTAACTTCACACATGAGGAATACTTTTTTTCACTTACCTCAAATTTTTCCAAAATGAAAATATAGGGACATATAATCTTTATTTACTTACTTATGATGCAGTTTCCTAAGAACTGAAATGTGGTAGGGAAAGCTATATCCACAAATTCTGGAGATAAGAAACCTGTATTTGAATGGAGCTGTATTTGAAAAGGATGGTCAAGGGAATCTTACAGACTGAAGTTGTGATTTAAGGACTGGCGAGTATCTCTTTTTGCACTCTCCATAACTCTGTCTTCCATTTTAAAAACAGAGATTACAGACTATTGAGTTTTCTTTCCAATTCAGATTCTTTTGGCTTTTGACTTTTGAACACTTCATGCTAAATTGATACAACATATGGGTGCTATATATGAATGCTACATGAGAAGATAAAGTGGGTGGTTCCATTGTGTTTTCTTTTCAGCAACTGGTCATTTTCCTTTATCTCTGTTAGCATCCATTTCCTGGTTGCACAAAAGATGCACATGAGCTCACTGATATGCTAAATTCTGTCCAACTTGTGATGGACCTTCTAGATCCAATGAAACCACCCATGTTAAATCCAGAAGAGATCAAAAACTTAAACATACCCATAACAAAAAGCCCAGGTTCATATGGATTCATAGAATAATTTTACCAGACCTTCAAAAAACTATAATCATACTGCTGAAATTATTCAAAAAAGAAAGAAGAAACAGATGGAGAACTCCCAAACTTCTTCCACAAAGCTATTATTTTTAAATACCAAAAATAGTTAAAGACACACACACACAAATAAAAACTACAGGCCAATGTTCCTAAGGATCATAGATGCAAAAATTCTCAATAAAATTCTTGCAAATCACACATACATATATTTCCATAAGACCATCCACCATGATCAAGTTGGCTTCATTCCAGAGATGCATAAGTGGTCAACATATATAAGTCAATAAATATGAAAAAATTTTCTCTATGTAAATATTCACATCTATCTTAAATGGGATCTCAGGAAACTTTAATTCCATATCTTATTTTTAATCTTTTAAAGGATATGGCTGTCAGTTCTCAGTAATTGTATATTTTACTACTATGCAACTCTACAAAAGAATCAGTTTTGTTGGTAATTTAGCTACTACAGAAAAGGAGTAGGAATGCTGAGGGATTCAGATTTGATGAGAGGCATCCCAAATGCCAGGTTTGAAATGTTAACATGGAAGTAGTCATAATTCTTCTTTAATATAATTTAAAGGGACTGGGAAAACAGTTATGAAAAAAAGAAATGACAGTAATAGATTTGTAGAACTGGCTGGTTGTTTTTTGTCTGTGTATTGGTGTGTATGTGCATGCAAGTATTTTTGCTTATTTGCATAAGTGTATGTAGGTATACATGTGTGCGTGTGTGTATGGAGGCCAGAGATCAATGTTGAACATCTTCCTCAATCTCTCTCCACATTATTTTTTGATTCATGGTCATTCATTGAACCTGGACATCCCTCATTTGACTAGGCTGGCCGAAGAGCCATCCCCAGGGGTCTTCCAATCTCGGAGTCCCCAGGGCTGGAATCACAGGCTAGGGATGGAACTCAGGTCCCCATGTTTGCTCAATAGGTGCTTTATACACTGAGTCATCTGCCTAGCCCCTAACTCGTTTTCACAAAGCAATATGAATATTATTTTGCTTGTTCCTTCCAATTACTCCCACAAGGTTTAGAAGTACAATAAAACACTTATCTGTATAAAATAAACTAGCAAAGGATTTGCAACTCAAAGAGATTTGTTAGCGAGAAATCTATGCGTGCATCTGGTAGCATTCTAACAACATTCAGGTACATGCTTCTATAGGGTCCAGTTCTAGGAGACCAAAACAATAGGCTATTTAAATACAGAATGTGACTTCCCTGTTCACTGAATCTACAAGAATAGTGAAAACTGTGGTCTTCCCAAGCAGGCAAAAATTAAATCATGTCAATATTGGGCTCTGGAAGATGAGCCAAAGTGAACAAAAAAGATTTTCCAGTGGTAGTTCCACGTCTGACATTTTTAGTAAAATGGACAGGATTTTCGATAGTCACAAATACATCATCTTTTTCACTCACCAGAAGTGGGGTACTTTGAAAAATGAGGATAAATTAGCATTTAGATAACTCCCTCCTCTTTCTCAGCTCTCATTTCTCAAATAGTTGGTTAATATTTCACAAAATTTGAAACTCTCTTTTCTGTGATATAACAAGACCCTTCAGGTTTGACCTTTTTCTATACTTAACTAGAGATTTTAAACTCCCTGTTTCCCTCAAGGAACACAGGGAAGCAATTCATGCAATTAAACTCTATTTTCTACATCTCAGTAACCTTCCACCCTTAACAGGCAGAAAATCACCTATAGTCACTTTGAAAACTAAAGGATGTGAGAGATTCGCCCCAAGGTAAATTTCTCTTTCTGTATCTCCATCTCTAACCCCGGTTGCTCCATTAAAGCTAATTCCTCTTAAAGACAGTTTGACTTTTCCAATTAAGCCATTGATTTAAATTACTTCCCACTGAGTCGTGAGAATATTCCATTTTCTCTTTCAGGGCTTCTGCTCGTAGGAACACATTCCCTGATCTGATCAAGCTTATGAAAGGAATGTCAAAATTTATAAACTAATAATGTAACTAATGGCAAAAATAGAAGGAAATTCTGGGGTTCATCTAAGACTTACTTGGGCTCTTCACTAGGTATTCCATAATGCAACTACATTGGGGGAGTGAGAAAGTGTCTTCCTATATCCCCAGGTAGCCTAGAACTCGAAATATAGGCCAGGCTGTCCTGGATCTCACAGAGATCCACCTGCCTCTACATCCTAAGTGCTGGGACTATAGGTTGGTGCCTCCATACCCAGCCACTACAAATATTTTGTAAACCCAAACAGAACTTAGTAATCCTTTCTCATAATTGCTTTAAAGTTTTGGATTTGAAATTTTTAATTCCCTGAACTACAAATGTCTCCATTAAAAGGACTAATAGAATTTGGATGCATAACATCAGAGTAATTTAAACCTAACAAAAATTAAAATTTTAAAAATTCATTATTCATCAAATTTCAAGTTCCAAAAAGGTAAAAGTTGTAGAACTGTAAAGACCTTCTGGCTATGACTCTTAATTAATAACTCCTATCATTATTCTATAGAGCTCTTTAAAATACTATCTTTTCTCACCTAAATTTCTATAGAACAACTGCACTATGATTAACTTAATCAAGGCAAAAGAATATGGTGGATATAAAAAATGGATGTTAATCCAATCCTTCAGTGGAACACCAGATACATCAAGAACTTTCTATGTACTCTATTAAAAATCTTAAAAACCTGATATAATTTCATGTTTCTACAAACATTCAAGATATACTGTCTTTTCATAGGCATTTTACCAATCAAAACTGAAGCAATAATAGCCCAAGATCATATAACCAGGAAACTGGGACGCTTTGTTCCAGCTCCAGGTTATTAGCCTCCGATGAGCTATAACCACTATATTAAGATGACTTTTTTCCCACAAAAACTTGTGGTGCTAGAGCCAAACATCTTATCAAACAAACAGCTTCATTTTTCACCACCAATCCACCTGCTACCTAGAAAACAAAAGATCTCTAACAATTCAAGTTTAGCGCTTATGCAGACTGCAGGCAGTTTTTGTTAGAAAAGAAAAATCCCTAGACTTTTTCTCATAAAGTCAATCAGTAACAAATAGCTATTGAGTACAAACAGTATGTGGGTGCTGTGTACGGGACTGGAGATGCAGCAGTGTAAAGGCCCATGGCCTCATGAAAATTCCAATGACATTCCCACAGAATACATATTTATCATTTGTACTGATTTCTTAATGAATTGCAGCTGCTATCACAGATACTATATTCTTTAGCCCTCTCAACTCTGGTGGCTCTGGCCTAATTTACTCAGAAGAATACTGAACTTCAGTGTAGTGAGGTCATTTGTCCCTAGGTGTCCTATCCATGATGTATGCATAAAAGGCAAGATGGCTTAAGTCATTACATCATTACCACCATAGAACTCCAAAATCTCTACTTTGAATCATTCCCTTCGTCTTTCTAGCAATTTCAAAAAATAACTGTATGTGTGTGTTTGGTGGGTGAAGTAGGAAATTTACAGTGAAACTATTTAAGTTCAGAAATATGCGTATATAGTACCACAGATGCTTTTATGTGGAATTCACAAGTCTTTGCTGAAAACTAGCTGCTCACCCTACTACTGTCAAAAATATATTGTTCTCTGTATCGTTTTCTTGAATGTGGTCCCAAATATTCTTCCTTGACTGTGCAACTCAGTTTTTCCTGTGCAGCTTTCTGTATCTGAGTTGTTAAAGTTAGTCAAATATGGCTGTACTGATACTGAAAACAATGACTCAATTGCCATCTAGATTAAGTTATCCTTTTTCAAGAACAGTCTGGAATTTTATAGGAAGTTACAGTCAGATTTAGCTTCAGATAACTTATGCAATTTTCTTTATGTTCTTTTTATTTCTTCTTTTTCCCCAATTTCTAAAATATCTATTCCCATTAATAAAAATGAACAACTTCCTAATTTATACTCCATAATGAAATTTCCTAGCTGAGAAAGACTGCTAAGTATCAGATCTTGAAAAGACATGTCTTATCATGGTTTCAAATAGGCAGCAAAAACAATAAAACTGAGAGTGATAGCCACTATCACTTGATTGTGCAAACACAACATGCACACCCAACAAAAACACGACCCCAGAGCCACATATGAGTAATAACCCACAGTCACCCAGGTAGGGTCATTTCCAGTTCAGAAACAGGTCACAACATATTAGGTGTTCATCTTTGAGTGTTTTTTAATGTGCAGTCCATTTACTGTCTCACTAAGGAGGAATTTTTTTATAGACTTAAAAGATTCAGTGGACAACCAGCATGTCATGTCACAGCAGAGACCACCTCAGATCTCTGTTCTCTATATTTCCAATACAGATTTGGGACTAACTTATAAGCAAAAAGAACACAATTTGGGGGACACCATGTGAAAACTCTAGAAAAATTAGCCTGCAATCCCTTCTGCATGGCTTTCTCCTTTCATGTTTTAGCTATGATACTCACTTATGCCCACAGCTGTTATGAGTTTGATTGCAAGTTCAGGAATTTCACACTGAATAAAAAATGGTTCCAGAATATAACGTCCAAATGCCAGGGATATCACAGCAGTTGCTCCAGGGCTAAAAAACAATATAATTAGGTTAACTACAGAAAATAAATATCATTTTCATTAAAATTTTTCTATCTTCAGGTATTAATACCTAACATGTGAAACACATTCAGCATGAGAGTCTATTACTTTTAGGACTCTATATTTAATTAAGTTTCCACAACATTGCAAATGAAAGGGTGGCTATAAAATAGTGACTAATTTTTGAATATTTTTATGAAAATTAGAATTAGTAAGTGTTCATTGCCAATATATGTCTAAATAACTGACTTTGTTTCATTCTTATTTTTCTAGTAAAAAACATCAAAGCCAATATGAATATTCTTAATTCCATAAAAAGATTTAGATGTAACGTATAAATTGAAAAATGAAAGTACTCTTCTAATTTTAGACAATTAAGAAACACATGGGGTTAGGGCTGAAGAGATGGCTAAGTCAGTGAAGTGTTTGCTGAGCAAGTGTGAGGACTTGAGTTCACACCCCCAGAGTTCATATGAAGGTAAAATGTGGTAGCATATCCTAACCCTAGTGTTAGGGAGTTGGAGACAGGTCCTGGGGGCTTTCTAATCAGTCAGCCTAGACAAAATGGTGTGCTCCAAGTTCAGTGGAGACCCTGTAACAAAAAGTAAGGTGAACAGCCATGGAGGAAGACCCTCAATATCCACCTCTGGCTTCCACATGTGCATACACAGGTGAGCACACACACATGCTTGTACGAGAGAGAGAGAGAGAGAGAGAGAGAGAGAGAGAGAGAAGCATATAAAGAGACAGACAGAAACAGAAACAGAGACACACAGAGAGAAAAAGAAATATATGGAATAAGAAAACAAAATCAGTTTGGGAAGATAACAGCCTGGGCAGTAAGTCCTTCTATTTTAAGTGTTGTGTTGCCATAAAAAAATTGACTATGCTATTTCCTTCAAAATATACTCATATGCATATAATTTTCATACATGTGGAGCTCCATGGAATGGCCTAGCATCTCAAACCAGACTTCCCTTTCAGCTTCTTTTCCTTTTTGTGGTTATCTAACACCCAGGCCTGATCCCTGGGTTTTCAGAAAACCAACCCCATTATCTATTTCCAACCTTGGTTTGCTGGTTCCATTCACCACCATAAATTTCTTAGCTTTCTTCTTCCCCTAGAAACCCCCTTATCTTTTCTCCAAAGGAGAATATTTTTTGCTCTTCTCCGTCATTTACAAAAATTTCTGATTTTAAACTAAAATGTAATCATGTCGTTTCAGCACCTTCAAAGAATGCTTTGGTGGTGGTCAGATTTTGGGTGGACACATTCAGCTCTCAGCTTTTCCTGCCCCCTTTACTTGCCTTCCTCTCAAGACCAAGACCTGAACCACTGTGCCTGGAGCCTTTCAACTCACTACCTGTAAACTGGGTCTTGGTTCAGGTTTTTGGGGGGTCAAATCTGTCTGAGCCTCCTCTTAACTGCACCAAGCACAGCACTGAATCCTTCTTATCTACAGAGCTCGTCACACTAGTGATTTTATATTCACTCACACAATTCCTAAACTTATAACTCTTTCCACCCACTTTACTATGAATTCTAAGTACAAGCACTAATTTAATCCCCAATGCAGTGTTTAGTACAGTGTCTGTCATAAAGTAGAACTCAATACATATTGAGCATATTGTAAATAAGTGAATTCTGTTTAATAATCCTTGTCATGTTCTATTCAGTGACTTTTCTTTGCTTGAATTTGTTTCACAGGTTATTTCTAGCAATAATGATCTAATATGAGGGTGTAATTTTAATGCAGACTATTTGGATAACATGAATATTAATATTTAGATATCATGGATATTAATATTTAGGTATCATGGATAGGACTGGAGAGATAGCTTAATGATTAAGAGCACTTGATTGGGTTCCCAGCACCCTCATAGCTCAAAATCACTTTTATCTCCAGTTCCGGCAGATCCAATGCCCTCTTCTGGTTTTGGTGGACACCAGCCATGCACATGGTACACATATAAACATGCAGGCACTTCCACATTCACGTAAAATAAAACTAAATGAACCCTTAGATACCATGGATATTATGTTCACAAAAGAGAAGTGTTTGCCCTTCCTCAAGTCATGTGTTGTTTTGCCTGTTTGAAAGACCATCCTAGAAGTGTGGTTAAATATGAGAAAAAATGCATAAAAATACATTTAAAAGCTTCTGTAATTTATCGAGTTTACTTTGCTGCACACACACACACACACACACACACACACACACACACACCATAAAGCACTTTTTTCAAAATTAAGGCAACATCTGATTATAGGCTATTTAGAAACAGGAATCGTGACTCATTCCAATTTAGATTTTTATTCTCCCATTCACCATTCAGCAGCAATTTGTGGAAAGAATAAATTAATGAGTAAGCACCATATCAGTCTATTGTAAATGGAATGATCTTGCTCATAGTAATACTGAGCGATTAGCTAAGGTTGCACAACAAATACATGAATAAAGGTAGATTGAATTCCAACTACATGAGGCTCCAAAGCTCAACAGCCTGACAGGCCAATATTCTAAGTGAGTACATTTGAATTCTGAACATTTTATACTCAAAGAATATAATCTTATACTTTCTATACTTATTAAGAAGGAATTTATATCCAGGCTACACAGGACACTAATATAAGTATCTTGAAGTTATAAAAACTGTAAGACCTGCTCTTATGTACTTGAAATGATTGTAGCTCTAACAGGGAAACACAACATAGCTATCTAGACTATTAGGTGAAATATAGGATATTAAGTTCAATGCCAAATCAGAAATAGAGGTTATATTTTTTTCTTCATAAGATTAAGAGATGAAAGAAATACTAGGAACTATAGTAAACCAGAAAACTGTGGAAAAAGTTAAATTTAAATTTTGAATCATACATATGGTTAAGATAATCAAAAAAAAGTCAAAGATATGTCCTGGGTAGGGGGATATTAGGAAGCCAAAAAAATAAATACTCTTTAATCATCATCTAACTGAATTGATTTTTGAGCAATGCAGAATTGCTTAAAATGAGAATAGAGTTAGCAATGCAGTGTGTACTACTCTGAAACTCACTGCTAACACCATAAAAGTCATCCCTGTTCATAGACTCTTATGAGCTCTGCATTGTCACTTCTGTAAATGGCAGAGTCAAAACTCACCTGAGCTTGCAGTTGTGTGTGTGTGTGTGTGTGAGAGAGAGAGAGAGACATTTACAGTGAGAACAAGGCTCCCTAGTGATTTCTACTGAACTCTGTGATCAGAAAGTACAAGTCACATCCTATGAAACAGTTAGCTTAGAGCGCCTGTGATACTCTTAAACAACACATATGACATCACAGGTTCTCCACAATGTTGAAGGAAATTTGCTATTCAGAGTGACTTAGCACTATCCAGTGCCAAGAGAATCAGGAAGGGAAGCACATTCTTACAACAATAAAATCAAAAGATCTTTGCAACTCTGGAGCACTGATTTGCTTAATGTGAGGAAATGAATCATTTATGGTACGTAAACTTGATTTTGTGAGTGTGTGTGTAAAGTATAAGACTTGATGATACACTAAGTTGTTGGCACAGACATTTCTTAGTCACTAAAGTGAAGAAAAGTTAAATGGCCCAGTGACATAATTTGCAGTAAGAAAAATCTCCAATTCTTGGCACATTTAATTGTCTCTGGTCAGTCAAGGTGGATTTTAACGCTTCATCTCCGTTCAAATAAACATCTTTCCAGAAGTGCTAAAAATAATAGAAGATTAATGAAAATCTGTTTTATGTCCTAGGGTCTCCATGTTTTCTAATTAATTAAAAATAATGAAGATGAGTCTGAAAAGTGGTGAAATAAACAGATTCATTATCCCTTAATTTTTCATGTTCTTACCGTATTATGAGTAGCTCCACCCAGACTCGGACAAAAGCTAGTAATGGGCCGAAGACCTCCAGGATGTATGTGTAATGACCACCTGATTTCTTTATGCTTGTTCCCAGTTCAGCATAGGACAAGGCTCCTGCGAAAAGGTTGTGATCAAAAGATACAAATTTGATACACAATTAAGTTGTCTTGTGATGGAATCAGTACACAGTGTTTAAGTTGTAGTGCTATATAGCTATAAAATTAGGTCTGAGTAAAATTCTTACTCAAAACAGGCATCATCTAATTACTGAAAACCAATAAGTTCCTCTTCAAACTTCCTCACACTAGACATCTGGTTCATGTTAGTTAAAAAGGAAGGGCATTTTACTTGAAGTGGTGCATACAAACTTCTAAACCAACATTGTGTTTTGGAATTTGGAGCCAGAAAGCTGAGAGCAAAGGAAAAGAGGGGACGGATGTCAATGATTTCAACCTCCTTTATAAAGCATATTGCCTCACATTAAGAAAGAGAATTCTCTAAAACTCACATCATTATGCTGCAAACACTTTTAATAAGTGATACTTCTGTGGTAAATAGAAATAAGTACAAGTTATCTGTTCCTCAGGAAAATATGGACTAAATACCCTGAAAGACTTCATTTAATTTGTAGGATACAAAATCTTTTAGCAAAAAGAATCCTGCCTCAGTTATTCTGTTTCTAGAAAAGGTTTTCTTGGGTGTTTTGAAGTGCAAACCAAGGCATTTAAAAGCAAACTTTTTACAAAAAGATGGTGTAATATACATTCATTTACATAAAATAAAATTATAAAACTTAATTATAAACTAAGAAGTCAGTATTTAATGATAATATTTACATAGAATTGAGAGCGTTATATAAATCCCCAATGTCCTAAGAGTCATCCCCTTTAAAGTGAAAACATTGGGCTGGAGAGATGGCTTGCTCACTGGTTTAGAGAACTGACTACACTTGCAGAGGACCTGGGTTCAATTCCTAGCACCCACATGGTGACTAACAACCAACCATCTGTATCTCCAGTTCCAGGGGATCTGACGTCTTCTTCTGACCTCTGAGGGCACTGCACAACACAGGCACACTTACACACACGCAAACAATACACTCATACACATAAAAAATAAAAATAATAAACTATTTAAAAATAAATAAATAAAATGAAAATATTAACTTTCACCTCATAAAAGAATTGTGGGTATGTAGATGACAATGGCAACCAAAGACAGGACTGGGACATGATGAGCACCACACAAAACACAGCTATGCTTATTAATTTAATTGGAGAAATTCATTATGGAGAAAATGAAAAGTAGATCTTTGTGTCATGTCATAAATTCTATCTGAAGCCAGGCATGGTGGTGCACACCTTTAATCCCAGCACTTGGGAGGCAGAGGCAGGTGGATCTCTGTGAGTCCGAGGCCAGCCTGGTATACATAGTGAGTTCCAGGCCAGCTGGGGAACTCTGTCTCAAAAAGACCAAAACAAAACAAACAAACAAACAAAAAAACCACACCTCTATCTGCATCGCTCAGCACTCAAATATAACACAGTTTCTGGCCAAGCACCTTAAGAGGCCATGTGTTTGAAAAGTTCTTAGTAATCAGTACTATCTCACATAGAACTGCCAACATAAATATAAAATATAAAATTTAGTGAAATCTGAGTACCAGTTATCTGATTCCCAAGCCTAGCATTGTATCAGAATCACTTGGGGAATTTTTTAATTAAAAAGCAATCAAATAAAAAAGACTCTAAGACCACACCCTAGATGTGTTCTCTCAGCAAGAGAGTCCAGACTAATCCATAAGAATCACCCAAGATATCTCTGTTGCTTTTTAATTCTCAAAGATGATTCTAAAATAACTAGCTTGCAGATGACCTTTTAAGGACTGCTGGCATATTTTGTTTATTTAGAACTAAGTCTGTCTATAGTTTACATTCTTTTGAAAAATAGTCACGTTGGTAAGTTGTCCAGAAAAGCATATAGTGTAACACATTATTGGAAAGAGTCTTAAGTACCTCGGAATTTATTGTTGAAGAATCAATACCTAGACCTCTGCATGCTTTGCTGAAACTCTTGTATGGTTGTCCTAGGTTTAAATTGAGTTCTGGGGAAATGAAATTTTCATTCAAAGGTCTCAAGCTCCATAACCATTGTGCCCAGATGAAAAAAGGTTCAAAGCAAGCTATAAAAGTCCATGTATTAGCCTTGGCTTTCAAAACAGCTGTAAACCAAATACAGATGGTGCTCCATTTACAGAGGGCTGACAATCATCCTCCCCCCAAGTATGGTATGTTAAAAACACTAGACAGCAGAAAATGCATTTAACATACCTAGCCTAGGGAGCATCCTACTTATGTGCCTAAAGTGAAGCAAAATCATTGTACACAAAGTTCATTTTATAAGTGTTTATTATCTCATGTAATTTATTGAATAACAAGTCACTATTATTCACTATCACATGGTAAAAAATAGTCATTGAACCATTTAGGTTCAGTTTAGGACCAAATAAATATGGATTCTTGACTCTTATTGCCCATGTCCTAGAGTTTTAAAAGAAAGAACTTTTTTCCTTCTTGTTTTGCTTTGCTTTCTATTAGTGTGGACTTTCTGTCAAAAAGGCTACCAGTAATTTAATCACAGGTGGAGTGCAAATAAAGATGTCAGCTAATAGAAGAGCACTTCCCTTGAAGTTATTGGTCAAAAATGTCAACTCCAGTATATCCTCTCAGTCCACACTTAGTCTGTACCTTTCCTTGAGCCTTCGCATAAAATGAGCATATTTTCATCACACAAGTCAACATCATTTTAAAGATTTCAACACTCAAAGTAATTTATTTTATGACATCTGAATAACAATTTATTGCATGTGGAAATGGAATCGCATCATGGGAGCTGCCTATATATGTCTTCAAAGTCCAGGAAACTGGCCCTAGTTTTTCTGATTAGATATTGATTTGTTCTAAATATACCAAGTGTTGTAGGACGCTTAAAGCCTGAGGGAACACAAAGTCAATTAAGATCACCAGTTGAGTTTCTCTTTGTTAATCTGTACCTGCATATGTCAGAAACACTTTAAAGTGAATAATGGCTAAGGGTTCTTTCAGAGTTTTGATGATCACCGAACTCAGTGTTCTGCAGGATGGAGAGAAGAATGTGGAAAGGGACAACACACAACTGTCACCAAATATTTCAGAAAGTAAAATCTATTCACATAAGTAATACCATCAAAAATGATAATTCCTCCATTGATCTTTCTACAGTCAGACTTTTCTTCAAACTATTTCTTTGAAGCGTCTTCATCCTAAAACTGGGAATCTGACTTATGTGATTAACTGCCCCACCCCCCAATGGATTCAAACATCAGGAGATGTGAACACAAGAATGACTGGATCAGTACAGGTAGGAGCATCAGCTAGTACTTGGTCCCAGAGTTGTAAAGAGCTGGTCATTTTAAAATAGGATCTTTTGTAATCAAATATATTATGTTCAGATATGAGCGAATATTTACCCCACAGTATAAATCAAATAAATTCTCTTTGGCAATTCACCATTTCTGTCACCTTTACGTGAACTTTATGGTGATTTGCTCTCCTGATCAGGCATCCGTTACTTCCTCTCCACTGTTAATCCTCACATGAATAAAAAATAATATTCAAGCTTCTACCAGTTCTCTTCAGATGAACTCAGGGAACAGGTGGATAAATTATCTGTTTCCCTAGAGACCAAGCAAACTACAGATGAAGAAAACAGATCTAGACTAACATACAACTCAAGCTTTGAAATGCATATTGAGAAAATTTACAAGTATTAAGAAAAAAATAGAAAGAAAAAAGCAAGCTCAAGCCATCCCGATAGTCTCACTAACAGAGATTGAGCTACATCAATCACATATCCTTCCAAGTGAAGGACTTTTGGAAAGTAGAGTATTAGTTACTGACAAGCCCATGAATTTACAGTCTTAGAAAGGCTGAGTCCCACCCATTTATTTTGCTAATAAAAGGTCCCTGACACTTGTACAGAACAACCAGTTCTATGTGTAAATAGGCCACAGCCGCACCTTGGAAGGTGCTTCATCCAGCGGTGCCAGCTGCCAAAATGCCCTAAGTTGCCTCACTAAGCCCAAAGTTCTGCACAGAAGGCTTGCATGGGTTTTCTGGGTCAGCCAAATTATTCTTTCCTCTCATCACCACGGAGAAAAGTCACAAGAGCCTATCTCTGGCAGGAAAAGACAGTGTAGCCTGCAGGAAGGAATTTGAGAGATTCAGGCTTATGCCAACAGTCAACGCTGTGTTTGAGTAGTGCACATACCTGAACAACAACAAATAACCCAAAACATTGCGTGTAGTCTTTGCCATCCATTTACTCCTCAGAAATAACCTTTTGCTTCCCCAGCAAGCAAACTTTGCCAGAGAACCACGCAGCCCCCCGCCCCCGGCTCCCCCAGAGAAGTGCACTCACCAAACAGTGACAATACTCCACAGGCAGACCAAACAGTCAGTGACATGCCCACGCTGCCCGTGTTTTGGAGTATGCCCTTGGGGGAGATGAAGATGCCCGCTCCGATGATGGTCCCGATGATGATGGAGACCCCCCTCAGCAGAGTGATCTTCTTTTTCAGCACCACCTTCTCTTGCCCAGGTGCCTCCTGGCCACCCATGGGGGGCAGCCCCCCGCTCACATTGCCCTGTAGGTAGCCTCCTCTGGAGATGGTGGCCACAACTGGCTTTCTGACCATGGCAGTGCCACAACAGGGGGGAGAAAAAATAAAAACAGAGGAAGAAAAAACAAACTTTCAACTTTGGTTTCTCTAGGTGTAACTGATCACTATGCTGTCTCTCTTCGTCTTTGCTTTCTGTGTCTCTCTCAGCGCTTTTGTGTTCACAGGTGAAAACTCAGAGGTATATTTTAGCCTTCAGAGCTATCTAATTACGCCTCTGGAGCACCTGTGTGGCACGGGCTCCGGCCTCCCCCACCTCCCTGAGCTGCCAGAGTTGCTGCAGCCGCCGCCGCTGCCCTATCATTACACACCAGCTCAGCTTCCTCGTGGGCTTGTATTTATGCTCCCGCCTGTCACACCAACTTACTCTGCTACATGATGATGCAAATTCTCCAGGTTTGCATCAGCCACAGAAAACTCCAGCTTGAGAAAGCGCCAACATTACTCAGCTTTTTTTTTTTTTTTTTTTTTTTTTAACAGTAGCAGCATGTTGCTCAACTGACCCAAGATTTTCTCAGAACAAAGCACACACTTAAAAAGAGATCTCAACCAATCCAGTAAAAGTAAATTCGGAACAGACTTAAAGTAACTCTGAAGAGAGACGGGACTAGGAGCCTCTCCAAGGGAAAGAAAATGGAAAATGAAACAGGAAACAATTACTTCATTTAAGGAGTTTCTCTTTAGCTTTAACTCCCGTATGAAAATGTTTTATGCACAACTGTTTTGACAATAGAAAGAGCCTTAGATCTGCATTGTTTTCAACAGCAAAGTTTAGATTTTATAATTTGTAGCATACTTATTTTGTGTGTGTTTCCTAGCAACACTGTTAAATTTAATATTTACAAAACCAGAAAGATCCTAACTCTGGAACTGCTGCTGCCCGCAACTACACATTAACAGATTAATATTAGCTTATGACCCTAATAAGTCCATATTTAAGATCATCTGAGTATGAGAAATTGAAAAAAATCATAGTGACTCCAGAAAAGCCTTGATTCTGATTCTTGTCTGTACTGGGTGATTTCCTGAACTAAGTGGGAGATTTGCATTCTTCATTTGCATGCTGCTCCAGCAAATTTTTAAAAATCTACTCGGAAACTTAGGCAATAATTAGAGTTACATAAATGCAGGAACAGAGCAAAAGCCTGAGACATAATTCCAAGATAATAGGTATAGAAAAGTATAAAAAAACACAGCATTTTTTTTTCTGGTGCTATGAATTATTATGATTATAAATTTAAATGTAGTAAAATCAACAGGTGGCAATAGATTGCAGCAAGATGCTCTGGGTATTTATAGTAATAATAAGCTGTGTCAGTTTGGGCTATGGTTCTATGTGGTTTGAATTGAATGTCATTATTCTGAAGCTACATTTCTGCCCATCATTCATTAAATATGCTTTTGAGCGTTTTTTCTTTGAGACAGGGTCTCCCTGTAACCCCAATATACCTGGAACTCACTATGTAGACCAGACAGGCCTGGATCTCATAGAGATCAGCCTGCCTCTGCCTCTTCTGAGTACTGCACCACCACAAACAAAAATTGCTCTGTGGAAGGAAGGCCAACTGGAGTGGGAGTGAGTGGGGCGAATATTGATGTGACACAGGCAAGAAAATATTTGGAGAGGTACCTTGGAGTATCAGAACCCTTTCTGTTAGCTTATCACCTGAGAAAATGCACATGACAAGAATGCTTGACCATGCAAATAGCAGCGCCTGCATGATTTCCCTTTTACAGGATTCACCTAAATTCTGTATAATTTGCTTTGGATATACAAGTTAGCATTTTTTAAAGCTAATACTTTTCCTCAGCTGTTATGTATTCCAAAAAATTTAAAATGGGAATTTCCCTCATTCAGCATTGTGGAAACTCCTACAAAAGGAAAGCAAAGAAGGATTCTCTTCCTCCCATTCTGCTCCTGCCATGAGCGTCCACTCACACAGCTCTCCTGATTAATGAGCAAAAGGGGGCAAGGAGAGGCTTTTGTTTCTCCAAAGGGAACACATTAACTCTTAAGAAATGAGAGTTAGAAGTGGGGCACTAAGAATCCCAGGCAACCATGTGCTGTCCCTACCACTGTGCAGCACTTTGGTTTCTAATTTCTTTATAAATGATTGTATTAATGAGACTAAGACCCCACTCAGACAAGAAGTTGGATGCATTCTAAAGGAGGAAAACATTTTCCCAATTGTAAATAGCATTCTCCTTCTTGTCGATATTAATACATACTCCTGGAGAAAAATTAGACAAATGGTCGAAAAGATGGTACTATCCTGCATGAGAGGCAAAGAATAGAACTTTCTGAAAAACTGTGCATAGCTAAAACACCTCAATATATATCTTTGAAACACCCAGAAAGCTGCAAGAAAAATACAAAGAAAAAATTTCAAAGAAAATATTGAATTACCTTTAAGGTTACCAAACTGTTATAACCACCACTGTTACCCTTGGAATCTAAGAATCCAGATGGTCTTCAAATATGTATGTATCATAAAAATGTATTCATAGGGCCAAGCCAAATTATTTCTCTGGGTGCAATGTCTTGGAATGTGACTCAAGCTGAGATATTTATAAATAGACCTAGACTTATCAGTTTCTATTTGTTGGAAGTTATGACAGGACCGCCGAAAAACTGGGTAACTTGTCTCTGGCTGTGTTGACAAAGTCCTCAGGGAATCAAGAGATATTGACAGTTCTGGTACTGTCACACTGTTTTAAGTTCCCAGATTGACTCTGGGTCCTGAAGGTCTTCCATGAATCCCATAATCTATCTAGATTCCTTGCTAGGAATGTGACTCACACTACACACGAAGGTCAGTCACACGTGGATAGTAGAGCTGATTGTGAAGACTCCTCATTAGAGATTCTAGAAGCAGGTTGCACCACATAGCCATTACCACATGTGGCTTCCAGCATTTAAAATGTGTTTAGAATTTGAAGTTCTATGAAGCGGCTTTCCTAAGAAAGCGATTATGTATTTGATGAAAACTTGGAGAGTCTTTACTATAAAACAGATGGGACACATTTTAGGTATTTTCTGCTTGCACTAATTTCATTCTTGATATTTCAAAGAGTAAAAAAAAAAAAATGGGGAAGGGGTGGGAATGCCCAAATAATTTCTGTGAATCTTGTTTCAAAAAGTAACAAACATTTCCTGAATGTAGCCAGGTAATAAACATTTTTAGACTTTATGGTCACACCTGGTCTCTATCCAATGTTCTTCATCTATGTATGTAAACATGTGTCTACATGCATTACAGCCTTTTTTTTTTTTTGTCTTTTTGAAGCAGGGTCTCCCTATAGCTCCAGGTGTCCTGGAACTCACTATGTAGACCAGGCTGGTCTTGAACTCACAGAGATTTGCCTGTTTCTGCCTCCCAGGTACTGGGACTACAGGCGTGCACCACCACACCCAGCTGCATTACAACCTTTTAAAAATGTAAAAATCATTTGTACCTCCTGTATTGTTCTCCATCTATTTGTCAGCATCTTGACTGTGATCAGGATAGAGCAACATAGAACTATTTCAATGTTTTATGATAGGAGTTTTATAAATAATATTTCAATAAAATATACCCACACCTAAGCATTAATCTGTGTGTACAGCTGCCTTCACATCACAACAGCACAGGTAAATAGTTACAAAAGATAAATGGCCCATAAAGTGGAAAATGTTAATTATTTGTCTCTCTGTAGAGAAAGTTTTCTGATCCTACTTTAAGAGCCTACATATGAGCTGACCACCCATTTCCTCCTGCAGTTTTCTCTTTCTAATAACTTCTGGGCTCATTGCCCACTATGCCTCAAAGATAGGCATGTTCCAAACCTAATACCTTTAGGATCATCATTTTCTCTGCCTTAAATTTGAGTCCCTTAAAACACTTCATTCTCTTGCCTCTCCTACTAACACATTAACCATTACAATAAAGTTAATTTTCTTTGTCATTCTTTAGATTGTGAGCTCCCTGATTTGGAAGTAAGTTTATAGTTCTGCATCCTGAAATGCCTAGCTTATGTCTGCTGTGAGGTAATAAGTACTGAGTATATTTTGTAATCATTAACTCCTAGTAATACAAGCAACACTTCTATAAGACTGTAATGGGGAAGATAAAGGAGTAGCTCAAAGGCAGGGAGGAGAAGTCAAAGAGTTCAGTCATGATGTGTCATGCTAAAAGGTAATGCATAACATACAAAAATTCAAATCTCTGTAACAATAGCAGAGTATTATTTAGAAATTTGGAAACAGGCAGCAAGAGAAAAAAAACACGAAGAGAAAAAATTGTTGTCTGTGAGGAACAAGAAAGAGTAATCCTTGAAGGGTAGAGAGGGATAATAAAAACCAAGGACATCAGTTCATTTTATAAGCCTTTTATAACACTATGCTCTTATTAACTAATAGCAAATAAAACTAAAACAAACTATGCCTGAATTTAAAATGAAATAGCATAGAAATAAAAATTCATCAAAGGAATCGTAAGATCTTTTTATTTAGAGACAAGAGGGCTGAGACATTAATTTCTTAGAATATGTAGTTATTCATCTCTGTTAATAACTTAAGAGAAATTACTAAAAGGGAGGAAAAATGAGAAATTACAGAGATAGGATAGATGAAGAGGAAGGAGAAAGAGAGAGAGAGAGAGAGAGAGAGAGAGAGGAAAGAAAAGAGGGAGGACAGAAAGGCAAAAAAGGATAAAAGTAAAAAGGAGAGAAGGGAGGAAGAGAGAAAGGAGAAAGAAAAGTGGAGGAGAAGGAAGAAGAGGAGGAGGAGGAGGACGATGACAACGGGAGAGAGGGAGGGGAGCAAGAAGCGGAAAGGGAAAAAGGAAAGAAAAGAATAAAACAGGCAAACCAAAAAAAAAAAAAAAAAAAAGAAAAACAAAAAAAAAAAAAAAAAAAAAGACTCCTAAGCCACAAGAAAGGAAAAATAAAACAAAAAACTCTCATTCTAAATTGTATTTAGGAAAGTAAAAAAGACAGATGTGGGGAGCAACATCAGTTTTTAAAAGACACCTAAAATAAGTATCAGAGTATATGAATAATACTAGTATATTTAAAGGGTTTAGTGTCACCATAAAGCATAAATGATATTGGTTTTTAAAAAGCTTAATATCCAGTTAGGATCTAGTTTTAAATAATCAACATGAAGTTAAAATAACTTTCAGTCAAAAATATGATAAGTAATAAAAGTAGTCACTGGTCAGATAAGGTTTTTTTTCTAAATACTTCATTACTTTTATGTGTATGAGTATATTGTCTTCATGTATGTAAGTGCACTTTTGTCATGCAATCCCTGAGGAGGTCAGAAGAGGACTCTGGATGCCCTG